AGAGAGGTACGGAGAGGACCACCCCCCTTGGGCCCCTGCCCTGGTCCCGACCCTCCTCGCCCGCGCCGGGCGGGGCCGGCGGCGAGTGAATGAATTAGGGGTCCTCGGAGGGGCGGGGAGGGGGCGCGGAGCACGGGAGGGCGGGCAGACGCCGTTGAGGGGTTTGCGGGGGAGGCGCGGGGACGCGGCGACGCGGGGAATGAGGAATAGGCGGTGCGGGGCTGAGGAGGGTGAGGCTAGAGGCGGCCGCCGCTTGTGCTGCTTCCTGGACGGGGAACCCCTTCCTTCCTCCCCGAGAGCCGCCGCTGGAGGCGGCCGGGGAGAAACTCGCGGGCCGGGCGGGCTGCCCCTCGGGCGCTCGGGTGCGGTGGAGGTTACTCCCGTTGCGCTCCAGTCTCCCCTCCCCCTCGTCGTCTTTTTCTCTCCCTCTCTCTCCCTTCGCTCCCGCACCTCTCCCTCCCTACCCAGCACTCGGCTTGCCTCGGTTACTGCCTTCTCTGCTGCATCTAGCATCTCTAGGACGAAGAAATAAACTTCTCCCTCGAGCGCAGACTGGACAGATAGTGGTCCATTTCAGTGTGTAGGGGGATATATGAGTAAGAAGGGGAGGTCACGTTTTGGAAGAGCATAGGAAAGTGCTTAGAGACCACACTATTTGAGGTTATTGTGTTTGGGGAAAAATGCATCTGCAGCCGAGTTCCTGACTGCTCCCCTCCCCCATGTATGGGCTGTGACATTGCTGTGGCTACAAAAGAGGAGGTGGAGGTAGAGATAGATGGTGGTGGAAGAACAGGTGGCCAACACCCTACAACGTAAAGCCTTTGACTTAGTGAAAAGGAAAAAGTTAATCCCAGAAGGTCTGTTTTGCTTTGTCAAGTTAAAACACACGCAGAAGACCCGCAGAGCAGAAGCAGGGCTTTTCCCTTGCTAGTTGAGTGTAGACAGTAATAGCCAGAATTATACTTGAAGTTTAATTTGCCTGTCTTGCCCTTTCCTTTATCTCTTCTGTATCACCCTCATCCTTACAAATTTGACCCCCATCTCAAGACTTATTACAGTTCTCTTAAAACAGCACGCACAATTTTTTAAACTGACTTACAAGAGTTATTTATACCAATCTGCCAGACACCTAATTGAAATAAGCTACCCTTCTTAAATCTTGATATCTATGAAATTAACAACAAAAAGATGTTTTCTGATTTTTACACAATTACATTTGTAATGGAAAAAAAATCATTTAAAAAACTACAAAGGGAAAAAGTCTGTTCATAATCATTATCTCAGAATCAACCATATGAATGATGTCACTGTTAGGTGACTGAGGTCCAAACTGCTGACTCGAACGTGTAATAGACTATAGACATCAAGTATGATTGATTTCAGTATTACTTGCTTTGAGACTAGCCATCCACAGGCATACCTGGGTTAAAAAGATGGTAGAAGAGATGATAATTCAGTTTTATGATAAATAAAAGTGAAAATTTTTTTCTTTACCAAAATGTTGGGTTCCGGTCGCACTTCCAACCCTTGCTAGCTTTTGTAGCTTTGGGTGAGGGGGCTCCTTCTGGCATGTGATCTTCAGTAAGTCTACTTGGGAACCAAGTTTTCTTTAATGGACTTAAGTGTTACTTAAATGGATTTTTAAAGTCCAGTTTAAGGATTTTTTTTTTTTTTTTCCAGAAACAGCCACTGGATAAACAAGTAGACCAGAAGGTGTGTTTGTCTCAGAGTTCACACATATATACAGCTAAGCTTTCTCTAATCCAGTATCCACAGGATCTCCTAGGCTA